ATCTCTTTCTGAGTCTCATAGATGTAGAGTGACTTGCCCCACAGTTAGTAAGCGGCCCCACTGGGGTTTGCCTCAGTCTTTGGCTCCAATCCTCATGGCGTGTGGCAGAATTGTCCAGTGACAGATGCTTCCCTTTGAAGGGGGGACAGCAGGGCCTGGGTCAAGTGACGTAGCATCCAGGGAGTTTCTTCTGGCCAGTTTGCTCTGGCTGCCTCTGAGGCTGAGAGGCTAGCTGGAGCCTAGTATTTGGGAAAGACCCTTTTCGCTTCTGCTATGATAAATGACCTATGGTTAGGATCAAAAAGGGTCCCGGGCCTCCTTGAGTGCTGTCATTCTCTGAAAATGATAGACTGGGTCCTTCTATGGGATTCACAGATAGCATATTTTCCTTCTGTTTCATAGGCTTAATGACTGAGAGATGCTAAGAAGGCTAAAACCTCACCGCCCAGCCTGGCAGGGCTGGTGACACTGAGCTGGGCTCAGACTACGGATGTGGTGGGATGGGGTAGAGTGGGCTGCTGAGGGAGGTGGCTGGGGGACCTCATTTTTCAGTTTGGGGGCAGGAGTGAGCCCAGCGTGCCCAGAGACTGACAACCAGCCAGTGTGGCCGTGAGGGTAGGGACAGTGCCTGCTGACTCTGCTGCCTGCCATTGCCTAGCTCAGGGCCAGGAGCCTGTTAAGTAGCTGATAAATGCTTGTTGGCCAAACTTCTGATTGTTGAACGTGTTGTGTCTGAGCCTGAGCTGAATATGAGCTCGTTGCTTCCCATGGGTTGGGCTCCAGGCAGCCTGGGAGGCTCTAGATGTGGTTAGACAGGTGTGAGGAGATCACCCATCCTCAAGCAGGCTTATCCTGGCAATCCCAAGACCACAAGCCAAGGGTTTGGGGGAAGCCTGTGGAGGCCCGAGGGTCTAAGGCAAGCTGGAGGGCCACATGGGTGGGGTTGTGCTCAGAAGCCCGGTATGCGGGCGCCTGGGTGGCTCAGTTGGTTAAGCGACTGCCTTCGGCTCAGGTCATGATCCTGGAGTCCCGGGATCGAGTCCCGCATCGGGCTCCCTGCTCGGCGGGGAGTCTGCTTCTCCCTCTGACCCTCCTCCCTCTCATACTCTCTGTCTCTCATTCTCTGTCTCGCAAATAAATAAAATCTTAAAAAAAAAAAAAAAAAGAAGCCCGGTATGCAAGGAAGAGCTCTTCAAGACTCTAGGCAGGGAACCAGAAAAATCTGTCTTCAGGAACAGGGCTCCAGAACCCAAGGTGGGGGCCCTCTGTGCAGTGGCAGGGTGGGGTGGAGAGCGGTGCAAGAACAAGAGAGACTCAAAGATGAAAGATAGGCGATCACCCCATGATCACAGCTGGTCCCTAGGCCGAGGACAAGGTCTTAGCCGGGTGGCTGATCCCAGGCATGAGAATGGGCTGAGATGTCTGGCTTAACTGCACTGTGTTGCAGAGGTCCTGATTCAGGCAGGGCCTCGAGGTGGGGCTCCAGCTGTTGTGCCCGGGGGAGGAAGGCTGTAGAGACAGGGGAGCAGGGAGGGCCTCGCACAGGGGAGACGGCCTCCATGGGGTGGTTTGTACAAGAGTAAGGACAATGTCAGCCTCTCCCCAGGGGCAGGATAGAGGGACAGGAAGCCGGTAATCCTAGAATGGCTCCTGGACACATTCCATGATGTCAAGCTGGCCAGCTGTCACCGTCTCCCACCCGCACCCCATGCTGTTCAAGGGGATGGGCAGAGAGAGGCCAGTTCCCGCCCCTGGAGCCTGCGTTCTAAAGGCGAAGAGGGACCATGCTTGCAACGACCCTCAGAGTGACTCAGGGAGACAAGCTCAGATAAGACCCCAAAAGAGGCCCCCTGGCTGTGGGTATGGGGAGAAGTCGGCTGAGAATGGAAGGGAGAAGTTCCCCCAAAGAGGAAGAAGAGGACAGGAGTGCCACTAGTAGGTTTGTACAGTCTTTAAGGATAAAAAAAAAAAAAGGTAGGGTCAGGGACAGAAGAGGTTTCATAGGTGAAGTCATATTTGCCACGCCTCTGTTGTCATGCCGAGACCCCATCTCACACACCAACTTGGATGCAGAACGTGCTCCAAGCAGATATTGCTTATTTTCCACTGAATCAGAAGGAAATTACAGTTCCCATTAGAGCATTCCCGTGGGCAGGAGGAAGGGGCTGCTGTGGAGGTGCTCCTTCCTGCCTCCCCAGGCCTCACCCCTGCAACCCAGGAGCAGAGATGGGAATGGCGCGACAGGGGCTGGGGACCCAGGGCCAGGGCAAGCTGCAGGGGTGACTTTCTTCTCTTCTGGTGGCTGGAGAGGCCTGAAGGACCTCTGGGCCTCGGCTCAGCCCAACCCTCCCCTGTCCCCCAGCGATGTCAGGGGTGCCTGCAGGCCCCAAATGCCTGCAGCATCTGGCGTGGGGGGTGTCATCATCCTGATCGGCTCCTGCTAATGTACAATTTTACCCCATTGACCATGGATGGAATCCTTCATGAACTTGGCTGGGCTCCCTGCCCAAGGAAAGGCAGAAGGTAGGAGTTCCCCAAGTGCCACCACAGTGAAAAGCCACTACTGCGTTTCCCTCAAATGCCCTCTGGGGGAGCCCCCACCCCCATGTCCTTCTTCAAGCCCCCTTCCCTCTCCTAACACATTCACTGCTGTCCCCTCAAGCTTTTCTGTCCTTCTTGTCTAACATATGGACTACATGATGTTAGCTGTGCTTGTCCAGGTACAAGGAGAGGCCTCCAGGCCTGGGTTCAGAGGGACCCGCACGGGTGGTGGAGGGACCACTGAGCAAGACTGAGGTCCCGGCCCAGCTCTGCTACAACCCCACTCCTCCTCCTGGGGCCTCAGTGCGTCCCTGCTACAGAACGGGTGGGGGCACCTCTGCCCCTAAGTCCAGGACTCTGGGGAAGCCAACAAGTACATCATGGAAGGGTAGGGGCCACTGCTGCTGGAGTTGCTCATCATTCTCAAAGGCACTGCCAGCCCCAGGACGCCCCACCTGCAGCCAAGCCAAGTGCTACTCTACCTCCCTCCGTCTGGGGCCCACTCGGCTCCACCCACCACCTCCAAAGGGCCCTTCTTTCTTCCCAGCACCTGGCGTGTCTCTCCCAGGGGAGATGATGCAGATGAGATCTCCTGTCTCAGAAGCTAAAGAATAACCCAAACCTAAACCAGATCAAAATGCTTCACCATACCTGGCAAAGTACACTGACTCCCATCCTACGGAGATTCAGTTACCACACTTGGACGGAGGCTGCAAGTTTTGCTGACAGGTTTCTAATGGAAAGTATGATTGGCTAGAATTGGAATGCAGGGCAGCCTTCTACTAGCTAGAAGGAAACAAACACGGGCTCCAACGGGCCCAGCATAGCTTTTCTTGGGGCACCTGAGTACTGTTGTGTAGTTTTTGTGCCAGACCAAGGGACAGGGGGGACTGAAATTCACTTTGCCTGCCAAGTAGAGCATCCACAGAGCTATGTGTGCCTTCAGGAGGCCCCTTTTAAAATCCAGGCAAAGAACCCATATCTGCCCACAGAGCCTGTCCCCCTTTCTGAGTGACAGTGGTTCTAAAGAGAATATTTCAGAGCTGATGGGGGCAAGAGATAACATAAAGATGCAGGTAGGTGAAAATGTGGTTCTGAGCCAAGTGGTAGGCACCCAGCTGAGACCCAAATGCTGCTTGGGGGCAGCTTCCGGTGAAATTGCACAGAACTCACAGTGGGAGAGAAGGAAAGAGAAAGAGAGAGAGGGTCCAAGATTCCACTGACCTCAGAGTATTAGGGCCAGCGGGACTCCAGGGTCACCTAGATACATCATTTTTGGAGGTGTTTGGTTTTGGTCTTGGTTCCTTTTCATTTCTTTATTTCATTTTTATTTTGAGTAGTAGAATCCTTTTCCCAAAGAAAATTAAAACAGATAAGGGAAGCATTGGGTTGTTTCTTTTTTTAATCTGGGGAGAGGGAAATCCACAGCTCTGCCCACCTTGACCTGGCACCTCCCCCAAGCCCTAGGGCTCCCCAGGACACAATGTGGAAAACATTCACCTAGTCCAGCTCCCTTTCCTCAGTGGTAATAAGGAAAATGATGTGACTTGCCCAAGGTCCACTGAGGCAAGCCTACACCTCCATGGCCCAGGATCTGTTCCTTCCCACACAGCAAAGAGGCAGACCCTCAGGCTCCTTGGCAATGGAATCTTCAAGGCAGCTAGGCCTGGGTTCCTGCCCACAGGTAAGGCCCATGTCTTTCCCTCGGGTGATTGTTCCCAACCACAGAAATCCCTCATCTGGTTCTGCCCTCTCCACGATGGAACCAGAGTCTAGAATCTGGTTGAAGATTCAACCCTGCAGGGTTGAAGAAGTTGAGGGCACTGGAGATTTACCAACCATGCTGAGGATGGGGGAGCTGCAGTGAGAACCTGGGGTACCATCCTAGGACCCAGTCTCACTGGGGCTCAGTGGGAAGGCCCCCGTCAAGGTGGGTGAGCTCCTGTTGGTGCGGAGGGTGGCAGGCCAGGCCAGCCACTGGCCAGGGGTGAGGGAGCAGGGATGAGACTCTGTGCAGTGCTGCAAACTTTCAGCACCTCGGACAAGAACAATCTCCCCACTAGCCTTCCACTCAGACCCTGCCCCAGTCTCTCCCCAGGGACCCAGGACCACCATCTCCTGCTTTCTCCAGGCCCTCCCAGCAGGACGCATATCCCGGATTCTCCGGTTCCTGAGCTTGGCCTCCCTCCAGGCAACATGTAGCCTCCTATTCTAGAGCGTTCTTGGTTAGCTCACATCCCCCCACCTCACTGCTAAGTCCCTCTTCCCACCCCCTGAGAGTTTACGGCGAACATGCCCTTGAACCAGTCGTGACTTTCACGGCTGCTTCGACCATGAGCTGCCTTCTGGGATCTGGGAGCAGCATCCATTGCTCCTTGGATCTCCCGTTCCTATGGGGCCTCTGATGTCCTTCCGAGCCCTCCCAGCCCAGAGCACCAGGAACACAGCCAGGCCATCGATTCGCTCTCATGTGCATTTATTGAGTGCCAACAGAGTGCATGGTACTATGCTCAGGGTTCAGAGCCACAGTCTAGTCAAAAGGAGACCAGAGCTAGTACAGAGAACGTTTCATAGCTGCTTAACATCTGTAAGGGACGGGGAACGGGGAGAACTAATCACAAAACAAATTCCTATTCGAAAGCAACAGAATCTCCTCTGAGAGTAATATATATTCTACACACACACGCGCACGCACGCACACACACACATACACACACGCACACACACACACCCTGAATGAACACAGAAATACACCCACGTGGTTGTATATGCATTCATATACAGGTGTTGTGGGTAAAGAAACTAATGGATCCGCTGGAGGCGCGCACACACGCACGCACGCACACGGCACCACGCAGACGGGTAATCTGGCTTATGCTATCAAAGACACTATGTCTCCAGGTTCTAGTGAAGCATTCTGTCCTAGATGCCTGCAGCATGCAAAACTTGAAAGTTCCGGAGATTCACAGTTAAGGAGGACAATGGGTATACGTGTGTACTTTTCCATCCTCGGGGCCCCAGCCACCACACTGGAGATTGCTCTTTGTCTGCGACAACAAAGCCTCGGTGAAGGGCTCCCAGAGCCGAGCTGGGGAGCTGGAGGCTCTCTGTCCTAGTGGCAGGGCCCACAGGAGCCCTGGTGAGTTCACCAATCTTCAAGGCAGAATTTAAAACTCTGGTTTTCAAGTGTGTAGTCCTGCAAACGGTATTCCTTGTTACAGAGCCGCAGATCGAGGGAAGAGTTTCTCTTCTTGCTTGCTCGCTGCAGCTTCCCACATGTGCTAACGCATTTTGTAGTCATTAGATACAGATGTTTCACACAGCTGTCCCTTAAAATCCAAATCTACTGTGAAATCGAGGTCTCGCTGCAAAGGAGGAACGAAGGGTCCCAGCATTAGTGTGGGAGTGAGCGAGTCGAGCGCCTCCCACTCCTGCGGGCAGGGGGATGGGCAACTACCGTGTTTCTAAGGTTTTCTAGCTAAGGGGTTCCCACGAACAGCCCTCGGGAATCTATTCTGGTGTCTCATTATCCTCACAGGAAGTGCTTTGATTTTGAACCTAAACCCTTCCTGTTATAATATAGAAATGTTCCCTCTGATTTCATCCTGAGAGAAAACAGAGTGGGGTGGTTGAGTCTTGTGTGGCACAACCCTCAAAGCATTCTCTAGACTCTTTCAACACACATGCTTGCACCTGGGGTTACTCAAAAAGAATCACATGATCCCCAACCCACCAGGGCCACTGAAGAAATGTGAACCAAACATCTTCCAGGCCACCAGAAACTGTTATTTCCTGGCTTGGCTTGTTCTAAATGATCTGAAACCCATGGCAACAGCCTCTGTGCTCAAAGCCCCCTGGGTGAAGAACTGGAAGCTGTCCTCAAGGCTGAAAGTCCAGAGCGGGGCCTTGAGAAAAATCTATCATCTTTGAGTGTTAAGGGGCCACGGCTGGAGGCCTTCAATGACACCTGTCAGATCCAAACCAGGCTTTCTACTGCCCCTCCCCCAATACCTTGTCTGGTTGTGCACAAGACACTCGGGCATCTGGGCAAGGGGGTCCTGGCAGCTGCAGGGAGCCAGCTCAATGGGTCCCTTCCTCTCTCTGACCCTGGCCCAGACAGAGACTTCCTCAGCACTCACCACGTTTTTGGCATTTGGCTTCATGGATATGGTCCCATAGATTTCTTCTCCCCTCCGGACAGTGAGGTAATCTTCCAAGTAGAAGACAGTCTGCTTCCAGTGGGTGTAGGGGGCATCGGGGGCTGAGGGGAGAAGAATAGGGGAGGTAGGAAGGAAGGGTCAGAGAAGATATCTCCAGAAGGTCTGAGGCTGAGACCCTGCCTAGAAGTTGCTGGGCTTCTTCTGGGATTCACTGAACCAATACCCAGCACTCTTGCAGGGTCAGTGCCCAGCCCCTATAGCCTGCCGCCAAGCCCCAGAAATCCTCACTCGGCCCCAGTGCTCCTCCTTCCATCAAATTCCCATCTCCTCGGGGCTGCTGATCTTCCAGGGAATCAGAAGAGAAAGATGCTGGTATTACAAGTTCATTCCAAGGGGTGGGATGAATACCCTCTCACCAACTAAACTCAACGCAAATGAAACTCAAAATGCTACTGTTTTTAATCAGTTCAACAGAGGGAAGACATTCAGACAGTGTAAGGGGGAGATTTGTAGAGTAGGCCATCCTGGCTCTCCTTAAATGACATTATGTATGCAAATTCCAGAGCTAAACTAGTGTCCCACTGACACCCCCATCCTACACATAGCTTTCCTTGCCACTTCTCTGCCCTAGAACCAAACCTAGTACCCTTGGCCCAAGCCTGCTGTGGGGTTTCAGCGGTGTCCTCCTAACTGGATCAAAAAGAAATGAGGGATGGGGTGCCTGGGTGGCTCAGTCGGTTAAGTGTCCAGCTACTGATTTTGGCTCAGATTATGATCTCGGGGTCCTGAGATCGAGCCCCACATCAGGCTCCGTGCTCTGCAGGGAGTCTGCTTGAGATTCTCTCCCTCCTTCTCCCTCTGCCCCTCCCCCCTCAAATAAATAAATAAATCTTTAAAAAAAGAAATGGGGCATAATTCTCATCCCACAGACCCACCACTGGTCTACAGCGCACTCCTGCAGGATCCAGAGCTGCACTGATGCTGGCGTCTCCCCTGTATTTGCCATTAAATCCCAGCCAGCCTCTCTCGACACACTGCACGCTCAAAAGCCAAAGGAGGGGTCCTGCTTATGGGCCATCTTCCTCAGCACCAGCTATCTTTGGCATACTCTTCCCTCCCTGTCCAGCAAGCTCTCCCTTCCTCATCCGTCAAGGTCACTTCCTCTGGGAAGCCTTGCCTGACGGCCCACCCTGGGCTTATGCTACCACAATGTCTATCACACTATGGCATAAAGGCCTTCATCTTTTTTCAGCTGTTTGTTCCTCCATAGGATTGCAACTTCCATGAGGACAGGTGCCCTGCCAGGCTTATTGACTGTGACGTCCTTGGTGCCTACCACCACACTTGCTAGATCTGTAAGAGCTGAATAAATGAGCTATGGCAAAAACCCAAAGAGCAGACACTTCGTTATGCTTCAGGGTACCCACAGATGTTCAATTATGGTGGAGGCTTTGAAAACTGTAGGTAGTAGAAGAAGCCATTATAGTAAGTTCCTCTTGGCCCTTTAGGATCTTACCTTCCACCACCTGGATGTAGGACTCCTTAATACTGATTTTCTCTTTGCTTAGGACCAGAGCTAAAGATGAGAAGACTTGGGAGAATATAAGAAGTGCCTTTCAAATACTTCAAAAGCTGTCATATGGAAAGACTTACATGTGGCGTTATATATGGCGTTGGAAACAGAACAAAGGCTAGTCACTGGGAATTACTAGAAGGCAGATTTTTAATTCATCAGGAAAAAATCAGGGCTGTTCTGCAATCGTCTGAGCTACCTGAGATCCAGCCTTGAGGTGTTCCTACAGCAACCACTAACGGGATTTATCATGCGCTGAGCCAGACCAGGTAACCCATAAGATCTTACAAACCCCAAGACCTATTTAAATGGTAGTGAAGGGTCTGTCTTTCTTCGCCCTTTGCAATGAACTGGCTTGATCAAAGGTCAGTGGTTTGGTTAAAGACTCGTGTAGCCTTCAATGTGTGCATTTAGGAGATCAACACAAACTCAAAGTTATGGTGGGGGAAAAGCAGCCTGAGCACTTGGAAAAGATCAAAGGAGGGTCATGAATGTGCAGTCTGTGCCTCTCAGATCCTAGATTCCCAAACACATCCAGCCTTCATGGCCTCTAAGGCATACTGCTGTCTACGGACAAAGTCCACCTGTCCCAGCACCTTCCCCTCCAACTATATCTAAATAAATTGTCAAAAGATAGTCTCTGGTGTGTGCAGAGAATGGCAGCATATGACTGAAAGCACTCTCGCCCCCACTTCCTCCTACACCAGTCAGACAGGTGTCTCTCTCTCCCGTTCTTAAAGACCTTCAGGCAAGGAGATTCAAGCAGCTTCCTTCTGTCACCTAATCAGATGCCTTAAGAGAGTCCCAGAGATTTTGCTGGCTCAGGGTTGGCAGCCATCAAGCCTAGGTGTGTCTGATGGTTGTCCAAAATATATGCCAGCCTTGTGTTGGAAGAAAGTGATTTTTTTCCCCTTGCCATCAACATCAAAAGTTTGAGAACCTCCCCAAACATTTCATTTCTGTGATGGGTCCATTAGCTATGGACTAATTATCTAAACCAGCTTTCACAATACTAATACTCTGTCGGGGTGTCCAGGAGAAACTGATTAAAATTCAGATGTCTCGACTCTACTCCTGGAGACTTGAATTCAGTCATTCTGGGGGACGTGAAGGGGGCATACTTGCCAAGACTTAAAAATCTCCCCCCAGATGTTGTAGACATACAGCATGGCTGAAATCACTGTGCAAACCCACTCTTTTGCATCTAATAACATCTCCAGATGGGCAAGAGTGGAAAGGACATTAAATAAGCAACAACAGGCCCAGTTTCCTGCTTCCACATTGCCATGTGTTTGCACTATGACCCTGGGGCTCATTTGCTATATCTGCAGAATGTGGGGCATGATATTGATCTTCCCGGGTACTTTGAGGATTAGATAGGATGACAAGGGGGAAAGGGTATACTAAGGGTGACCAAATCTCCTGCTGTGCCCAAGACAACTCCAGGTTACTTGTCTTTGTGGCATAACTATGAATAGCTCTCTCTTTCACTATCAGAAGTGTCCTTAATTGAAAGATAAATTATATAGTCACCCTATGACAGACACATTAGGCCAATGTGAGGGTATCACTAAGCCATTATAATTCCCATATAATCACTATGGGAAGTGGTATATATAATTTTATTTATCCATAATCTATGGTTCTGACCTGCAAAGATGTGCTGCCTCACTCTAGCAGTGTAGAATGTCCTGGGGAAGCATCTAGAAAGGTGCTAGGTTGCAAGGGTGAGTACACAACACAGGGCTGTGGATGACATCTAGAGTTCTCATCAGGGAATAAGTCTTTCCCTCCCTTCCCTGCCCCAACTATAACCTTCAAGATCATGTATGTGACTTTCAGCTTTCCCTGTTATGAAGGTATCTTTATACTCTTAATATCCTGACCCCATACGCCAACCTCTCCTTTTCTCCCTCCCTTTCCCAGTCTCTCTGGGCTCTGGATTATGGACAGCTTTTGTTCTATATTTTAAGTGAGTGTGGCCAGTACTGCCCCCAGCATGCATTCCTCCATTCAACAGACATCAATTCAGGATGCCTATCATGTGCCAGTTACGGTTCTAAATTTGGGAAACAGCAACCTGTACAGCCTTGCCTCCCTTCACATCCTGCAGCCTCAGCAAGAAGACACTCAGATCGCTGGGTCATCCTCCTGACCAAGGACAGGGGTGCAGAGCTCAGGGGCTGTGGGAACGAACGGCAAGGGCCCCTCACAAGAAGATTTTTCCTGGTGCTTTCAGAAAGGGAGTGGAATCCTGCTCCCTGTTTCACTTCCCAGTGTCTAAGTGGCTTGTGGCTTTTCCTGAAATTTAGTACTTTTTCTGGCTATCAATTTGCAATTATATTCCCCCGGGGGATCAGAAGCTTTTTAGAGAATGAAAGATTATGCACCAAGAAGTTTCTTTGACCTGCTACAATGACTTATTGTCACGGGATGGCAAAGCGGGAAGGGGCTGCTAGGCATCTCGGTCCAACCACATCATCTCACAAATAACAAGCCAGAGTCCCAGAAAGTAAACTACTCAAAGCCCATCTCCTATGTATGGCCGCCCTACCTGGCTGACTCCTGGAAAAATGAAGACTCCAACCCAGGCCTGCTTCTACTCAAGCAACTGCCCCTCCACGCACTCCAGCTGCCCCAAGGGTCCCAGTTCCCATTTCCTGCCCCCACCCACTGAGGATGTGGCCAAGGTGTGGGGCAGCCATGCCCGCTGGCTGGCACAGCCTGGAACCCTGGGCTCCTGTGCTCATTTTCAACAGCTTCTGCCTGGAGCTGCAGAGAGGAGACTCGAGAGCCATTAACAGGGACTGTCTTCAAGCTGCATGCTACGTGATGTGCTTTCGAGTGGGCCCCCCAGAGCTAGCTGTGGCTGGGCTGAGACAGAAAGCTTGGCGGATAATCGATGGGAAGGGGCCACATACGGCAGGCTACACTCTGCATGAAGTTCGAAAATAGCTGAGACCAAACAATACAGTGTTCTGACATACACATAGATGTGATCAAACTTTTTTAAAATAGCAAGGGGATAAAGAACACAAAATCATTTGGAATAATGTTCATCTAGAGGCAATATGGGGGGGTGTGATGAGATGGGGTGGAGCATCTGTTTAATTATGTGATGAGCTCACAGGGATTAATTATGTGACTGTGAATTAATTTACTTATTAATTATAAATAGTATCATTATAGCCACTAATGTATTTCTGGTTAACACTCATATTCTAATTAGTAATAGTTTATTTCTTGATATTAAATAATGCATTTACATTCTAATAACAATAATACATTTCTTTCCAGTTACTATTGCGTTCTAGTTAATAATACTTTATTTACATTACTGAGTTAGTGGTGAGTTCACAGGTGTTCATTATATTAATAAATAAACAAGCAGAAAGTGAACCGTGCCTGACCCAATGATGTCATGAAACAGGAATTAGGATTAATCTAATTCTGTGCATCTGAAGTCCTTAAAAACAAAAAGTAAATACTCTTTTCTAGGCGGTCAGAGTACAGAGGGTCTGAAAAGCCCACTGCCAAACCCACACTACCTGGTAGCAAAACCCCCAGTGGACATTCCACAGGTGGCTGAAGAATCAGCTAAACAAATTATTTCCCCTGATCTCTAAACATATGGGGATGCTGCATCAAGAGGGACCTACGTCAGACAGAAGACATAGGCTTTGATGAGAAAAGAGGGCATATCGTAGTAGGGAGATGGAATTATCTTTCCAGAAAGGCATCAACGGGAGCCAAATTCACAAGCATCTTGTTCAAGCCGTCCTGCACAGGGGCAGTGGTTCTCAGACTGATTTGTGTATCACAATCACCTGGAGGGCCACACCCCCAAGTTTCTGATTCAGAAGGTCGGGGGTAAGTCTTGAGGATTTGCATTTCTAGCAAGTTCCCACGTGATGCTGAAGCTGCTGGCCACAGACCACACTTTGAGAAGGGAAACGGAAGACTGCAAGACCTCTGGGTGACCTTTGAGACCTGAGTTTCCGGGGTTCTGTGCAAAGAGGAGGCAACATAACATCATAGTTGCAAAAAGACAGACGAGTGAGCTCAGACCTTGATCTAGACCCACGGTATTTGAGCCTATGAAACACAGTCCTTGTCATTTCTCTCATAGGGACTTGTGAGGAACTACAATGGGGCTGTGACCACAGAATAGGAAGAAACTGCACCAGTGGGTTGGAGACTTGAATGCTGAGAGCAAACCCTCACCATCCCTCAAGCAGGCTCCTGCTCAGCCCTCCCGCAGCTGCCTTACCCCCTACTGTGAGGCTGAGTCTCACCCATCCTTCAAGGTCCAGGTAAAACGTCCCTTCCCCCTCCAGGCTATTCCTGACCATCAGGAAGACAATCTCACCTGCTGCCCCACTAAGGAAGGTAGTAGCTGGAAATGACCCCAGTTGGGGGGGGTCTCTGGTTTTCCCCAAGACAAGGGGCACCAGCACTGGCCTGGATGATGGAGACCAGAAGATTGTGGTCTTGGTGGTCAGGAGACACCAGTTCTGGAAAAAGCCCTCTGGGAGGGGTTGGATAAATCTCTTGCCCCCCCTATCCACAGGTAAAAGAGGATCATTGTCACCAAGGCTCAGGAAGTGAATGATCATATCCTCAGATTCTGGTAGAACACATTGACCCCTGCCACATGCACGCTCACTCGCCCCCGATGACGTGCTCCCACTTCCCAGGAGGACTTCACAGGCATGATCAATATGAAGATGTTCCCAAGGGCAGGACTTGGATCTTGATATACTCCCTGGACGGAGATTTGTTTAGAACCTACTGTGAGCCAAGCCTACTGTAGACACCAGCAGGGCAGAGATTCATGAGATGTGACCCCAGCCCATGGGGAGACTGAGAATTGCATAAAAAGAGTGAAAATATTGAATAAACAATGGTACATTTGGCACTGGAATCCTGTGTAGTTGTTTCAAAAAAAAAAAAAATACACTAGCTACGTCTGTGAGTCTGTGGAAGGCTCTCCAAGGTATATTGTTAAATAAAGACAAGGTGTCAGAGGGCAGCATGTTTAGTATGAGCTATCCGGTGTTTTAAAAAAGGTGTAGTTTGGATGTGCTACTGTGGTTACATAAGATGCCACCAATGGGCGAGCTAGGTAAAGGGTTCACAGAGCTCTATGTTCTATTTTTGCAACTTTATATGAGAAGTATTTCAAATAAAAAGCGATGTGCTTCTGTACCATTGAAATGTTTGGGAAGGATACAAAAGAAATTATTAACATATGTCTCTGAGGCACAAGGCTGGGATGCAATAGAAAGAGGACTTCTTCCTTGACTTTTTATACCCCCTTTTTTTTTACATCACCATGACTGACTGACTAACATAAGCACAGGATATTAGGGAGCTCCAAGAAGGATGCCTAACCTTGACCAGGAGTGAAGGAGGGCATCAACTAATAACTGAGGTGAGAGATGAGGCCTGTGCTGGAGTTGGCCAGGTGAGGGGCGGGGATGGGGGAGGTGTTTGGGGCTGAATTGTGTCCCCCGCAATTCATGGAGGGAGGGTCTGGAGCTGAGGCCCTAAGCCCCTGTCCCTCAGAATATGACTGTATTTGGAGATAGGACCTTTAAAGAGGCCTTTAAAATAACGCCTTTGGGTAGGCCCTAATCCAGTGTGGCTGGTGTCCTTCTAGAAAGAGGAGATTAGGGCACACACAGAGATACCAGGAGCACACACACACAGAGGAAAGTCCATGTGAGGACACAGAGAGCAGGAGGCCACCTGCAAACCAAGGAGAGAGCCTCAGGAGAAACCAAACCTGCCGACACCTTGATCTTCCAGAACTATGAAAAATAAATTTCTGTAGTTTAAGCCACCGGCCTGTAGTACTTTGTTATAGCAGCCCTAGCAGACAAATATGGGAGGAAGGAGATGACAAGAGTCTCTGACAAAAGACCCTCCTGTCCCCATGGTGCACCTGGATGAACAAGGGGTTGGCGTGTGCAGAGACAATGGCCTAGAGACTTAAGAAGCCTTGCTAAGTTCGGGGACTGCAAGGTGTTCGGTGTGACTAGGCTGTGTGTGCAGTGAAGGGACAAGGGAAGAGGGCAAAGCAAAGGAGGGGCAGTGAGAAGCGAGGTGACAGAAGTGGGCTAGGGCCGGGTCATGGAACCCCCATTTACCAGGCTAAGAAATTTGGGGTCATCTTCTGCAGGAAATGAGACACCTCTGAAGCCGGGCAGGGAGGGAGTTTTGTTGTGCTTCTAGAACAGGTGGGCTTTGGGGAACAGTGTCAGGAACTTAATGAAGGAAGGATTGGGGTGGAAGCAACAAAGAAAGGAAGGAGACAGAGAGACATAGGCTGCAGCCTACTGAGAGACCCGTTGAATCCTGTGGTAGGGCAAGGCAGTGAAGACAGGGAAACCTTACTCTATATCCTTACCGCTCGCATGGAATATGCTCAGTAAATGTTCAAAGAACAAATGTGCCTTTCAAATGGGGCTGCCCCCCTCTGCCTCTCCCTGCCCAACACACACTCTCAGCTCTGGTCTTACCATATCCATTTTCATCTACCTTCTCCTTTGGCAGCCAAAAGCGTGCTGGAGAAGGCTTATAAGATGCCAAGCAAGGGCCCCTGCCTGGCTCATGCCCCAGGTCCTGCCCCCAAGAAGAGGCCAACCCCGGTCACTTCTGCAAAGCCTCAACATGGAGGGTCTCAACATGGAGGGAGGGTCTGGAGTGAGTGCCCACCAAAGGCTCACCTGTGGAAAACCCCATTTTCTTGTGGCACTTGGTAAATTCAATATTAAAATAGGTGACCAGGGCGTGGATGTAGTCATTTCTCTGTATCTGCAGGCAGAAGGCAGATGTGAACGACAGCTCTTCCGTCTTCACCGTATAAATGTCCACTTCCTGTGGCCCAGAAGAAAGAGAATGCCAACACTTAGCGCCTCCACCAGATCTGGGTCCTGGTCAGCAGCTTCCTTCCCGTGGAAGACCACCAACAGTAGACTCTCTGGGGGTGTCATTACTCTCGGGGTGGCTCCCCAGCCCGCCCACCGCCCTCCCAGCGACCTCCTCCATCCTTTTTAGGGTGGGGTAAGCTCAGGCAATGGTGCAAACACATTTGAATCAGAATGTGTGGGGAACAGAATTAGGAAGGTCAATCTTCTGGGGATGGGGGCTTATGCGGGAGGGGGAGGAGAGGGGAGAGGAGGATTAATGAGACAGAGCTTTCCTGAATCTAACGGAGCAGGCTCAAAGCAGTCCCCCTCAGCATTGCTCCCTTCATCTAGTGGTTCTCAAAGTGTAGTCCCAAATGATGGGCATTAGCATCACCTGGGTGCAAATTCTGAGTGGGTGGGGTAGGGACGGCATCTCAGACCTATGGAATCAAAACAGCAATCTGTGCTTTATCAAGCCCTCCCCTTGATTTGGGTGAACCAGATTAGTCATTTCCCAATTTTTTGATATTCAAGTTTCCAGCAATAGGAGACACTAAGTATTATCTCAGGAGTGAGGACCTGAGCCCACCCACAGTCACAGACTGGACCAAGGGAAGTTCTGCTGACCATCTACACCAAGCCTGGATGAAAGAAAGAAAAGGCAGGGGAGAGAGACAGAGGAAGGAAGGAAGGAAGGAAGGGAGGGAGGAAGGAAGGAAGGAAGGGAGGGGGGAAGGAGGGAGGGAGGGAGGGAAAGAAAGAAGGAAAGGAAGGAAGGAAGGCAGGGAAGGAGGGAGGGAGGGAAAGAAAGAAAGGAAGGAACGAAGGAAGGAAAGAAGGAAGAAAGGGAGAGGGAAAGGGGAGGGAGAGGAAGGAAAAAAAAGAGAAAGGAAGAAAGAAAAAAGGGGAGAAATAAGAGGTAAGAATTTTTCAGTTCTGGCTGGGGAACGGAGAACACAAAGAACTAATAATTCTAACAATTTCAGTTGGGAAGTGGCTGAAAATCAATGTTGCGTGGGGAGCAAGTATAATGAAAGACAGTTTGCAATGTGCAACATGTTCTTTTCTGTGTGGAGGATGCTGACCTACTGTTTGCTGGCCCCAATGAGACAGGGCAAACCTTCCAAGAGCCCTAGAGGCATCCAGACAGTTTTCAGTGAGGTTTAAGGAAGCTTCCCATTGTTGGGGTTGTGTAGCAAGGACCTCTGTCTGAAGACTCTGTAAGAGCCAGACAGATACCCGTGTGCCTGGACTGGTTCCAAGGGGCTCTCCTGAGACCCAGATGATGGAAGATATTGGAGAAAATTAGGAGAGGGGTCTGAGGGTGGGGAAACAAGAGCAGAGAAGACACAGAATAATGTAACAGAAATGGCTTTTATCTCTACATATTTCTAGAATAAATAAAGGAAAAGCAGACGCAAAGCATCCCGGGGCCTTGAAAGAGAAGTCCTGTTTCCAGGGGGTGGACAGAGGAAGAGGTTTGGTCAAGGAGGCAAGTCAGATCAGAGCCCTATTGTGGTCTGTGGTGTATAGCCCTTGTATCCCCTGGGGGAAGTTGAAGCTCTGACCTATTAGTTGGGAAGAGGGTGGGATTGCAGATTTAGGGGAATGGGGAGCCCCTTGGTGATGTCACCTCAATGCAAGTTTTGTTGTGCTTCTAGAACCAAGGATGAGGAACAAGAATCAGTAGAATGGGAAGCCATGGGTCAGGCATGCAGAATTTGACGGGATTAGAAAGCCATCAATGCAAGAGCCCTTTTGGTAGCATCCCTAGGAAGTCGTCATCGGGTGCTTGCTAGGACACCTTCGTGGGTGATGTATTCAGTACCTGTCAGGCAGCTGATTCCATTTCCTGACATCTCCAATGGACGGGTCCCTCTTCAAAACGAGTGAGGAGAGTACACACCCGTCTCTGTAACTTCCACCCATGGTATAAGCCAAATGCCTATTCCCGCTCACATGGGCCCCCTAAACCTTTTCTTCTCCAACATAAAGTGTGTCTGGTTTTTCATTCACTTCTCATAAGTCATGATTTCTTACTCTGTCACCCTCCTTGTTTGGGACCTACTTCTAGCAGCCTCTGGTCTCAAAGAGCACACTGCTGGCTCAGACGCATTCGGTTGGCCAAGCCCTCTCCCTCCACCGCATCCTGCTCATGCTCCTTTTTCCTTTTGTCCTGGAAACTGAGTGTAGGATCCTCCATTATATGTTATCCTGCTAAGTTTGATCCATGGCTCCTTTTTAAAGCCAGCGCCTGTCAGCCTACATGACATTCGTTAGCCCTCCGGCCACATGCTGCCCAAGGTTCCTTCCAGCTCCACAACTCAGAGCAAGATGTGGTTAACTGTATTTTTGTTAATGGCATCAGCACAGTCCACCAGGCTCACGGTGCCTACACTTACTGACTACCATTTGCTTCTTAGCCAGGGCCAGACGGCCAGGCTCCAGACTCTTTCCAAGGTCCTTGTTATCTTTTTCTCTCGGTCCCTCTGCCTCCAGCCTCACCTGGTCCTTCCACCTACTTCTGGCTATCTCAGCAGCCTGGCCCCCTCGTTGGACAGGATCTCAGCACAGAGGCTGCCCATTATGGGTCTGTGTACCCTCGCTGTGTAACCTAGCACCTGCCAGCCCTCAGTCTTCTCCTTACTGGCCTCCACACTCGACAATGTTCCTGCCCCCAGCCCCAGGCCTCTTCTCCAAACCAAGCCACTAATCCCTCAGATCCATTCAGACTGTACTGCTCTCTGAATCCGAAACCTTCCATGACTCTGTATCGCTTACCTAAAGAGAGTGGCCCTCTTGGCCTGAACACAGACAGGGAGCTCCAAAGGTAGGCTCCGGGACACATCTGGACATGGCTGCTTTCTCCAGTCACCCGCCTCACTTCTTCACGACATTCAGGGCGCGCATGTGCATGCACACACACACTCCATCCCTCCTCCATAGGGTCCTGCTCTCAGATGTACATCAACCACTCTCAGCTATCGACTCCCCTGTTAGCTGATAGTGTTCACTAAGTCCTACAGATATTTGCATCTTAATAGGGGCCTCTGAAGGAACCAAAGTTTTCGAGACAGAAGTGATGAAGCTATACATTAAAATGGTGACAATGGAGGGGCGCCCGGCTGGCTCAGTCCGTAGAGCATGTGACTCTTGATCTTGGGGTTGTGAGTTGGGCATAGAGCTCACTAAAATAAAAAATAAAATAAAATAAAATAAAACAAAACAAAATGGTGACAATAGAGGCAGCTGGTCTTTTGGAATGAGGGCTGGGCCATCTGCGAAGGTGGCCAGCTATGACTAGGCTTTGGAGACTCAGAGGCCCTCAGGGCTCAGGTCCACCCTCCTGTCAGACCCAAAGGCTACAGAGCCAAACCCGTTACCTGGCTCCCTAGAGCCCTGAGCCCTGTGGTGGAAGGTTTCTGTATTCCTTCTGCAGCAGCATTTCTGACACCACAGGGGGTCCCCCTGACTAGGCCTCAGGGAACCCCCATGAAGCGGAGGGCTCTGGAGGCCTCAATACTCAGAAGAACCCCCGGTCTCTGTTATCCCCAGCACTAAATAACGTTACAAATGGATGTCTCAGAGCAGAAGACTGGTCAAAACAGAGTCTTAATTATAATAAAATGTCACACTCTGCAACGTTAATAGCGATGAAAGTAGCAATTAAGTGTGTGAAGAAGGGCAAGTGTTTTCCCAGCAGGCTTGGCAAAATGTTGCTTAGCACACTGGCGAGCAAGCTGATGGAGGGACTCTCCTGGTTGCAGAAGCATGCACAGACAGCCCTTACCCTTCTCGGGGAAGAGAGGAAGAAGGGTTGCGGGCACAGGGAGGGGGCAGGACTTCAGCCCCAAGGAGTTTACAGGAGTGTGTGACGCGTGCCCTTCTGCACCCCATTCCCTGAGTTCGGTTGCTTTGCCCCTGGCTGCACTCAGGTATAACCAAGGGGAAGACCCTTGCTGGGAGTGGGGGGAAGAAGGCGGGAGGCCAGGGTGGCCTGGGGGCGGGGGTGGGGTGCGGGGAGGAGAAGCAGGCCAGGCCACCACGTGACCTGCAGTAGACCTGTGGAAGCACAGTGGCCACACCTACCGTCAAAGGCGGAAAAGGTGGAAATGGACCTGGGGCCCCAGCACATTGAAGGAGTTGTACCTTCAAGCCAAGGCCAGGACACACAGGTGCCTAACAGTTCCATATAGCTGCCACATGTCATTTAGGCAAATTCAGTTGCACCAGTTTGGGAGTATACTTTCCTGCTTCTGTTTGGGGCAGGGAGAGGCTTCAGGGACCGAGGGGCCGATAGGAAAAAACTAAAAGGACACGTTTGTTTGCAGTTGAGCCTGCCTGGACTTGGGATGGGGCGAGTTAAGAAGTAGTGAGAACCCCATCAAGAGAGAGCCCAAGACTTAGATTTCCAGCCACATCTCTTAGGCGGGATGTTACAAGGAAGCAGCAGCTGATGAGACTCATCTGTGTATTTGCCCTCGGAGGTCCCTTCTAAATGCTACAATGACACTATGGACCAAGAGTTGTGTTTCTTCTTAGGAAGACTGTGCCCAGGGACAAGGGACAGTTGTGAACCTAGCAAAGCCGTGCTATATATCAGAACTTCAGAAACCTCTCCTCATCCCCAGTGGCCCTGGACTCTTCCCCTTTATCCCCTGAAAATGCTGCCCGTCTCCAGCCCAATACTCCTGGCAAAGAAGTGACACATACAGGACCAGAGCCGGCAAGTATGTTTTAGTAAGATGAGGGCTACGTGAGCCAATGAATACTTACAGAATGAACCCAGATTTTTAAATTAAAAAGTTAGTTTCAACCATATGAAAGTGATGTCTTTCTAGATTTAAAAAAACCAAATATCAGTAGTTTATATGGTTCAACATAATATATTAGTGTCTGTAAATGCAAATTCTCAGGAAAGGGCTGGAAAGATCAATCCAACATGTGAACAGTATTACCTCCAGGAAAAGTGTGGGGTTGAAAGGGAGGGGAGGTCAAGGGGAGCTTTTGTTTTCACTCTCTCAAATTTGCTACGTTTGAATATTTAATAATAAGAATACACTAAGGATCGGTGTGCTGAGGATGCTGACCAGCTGTTCTTCATTTGCACTGAAGAAAGTCTTGTCAGGAAAGCTGTTAGAGCATATGTACAAACAAGACCACTCGGGAAGGGGGTTGAGTAGCTCTGTCTGGCCAGGTCAGATGTGTGCTTGGAGGTGGGAGTATAAATGCCGATTACACAGCAGATTGAGGTATTGGATTGCTTCCCTAAGAGGGCCATCCACCTCGGAATGGAGGAGCTTCCCCAAACCTGAGCATACCCTCCTGCCTCTCTGCTGATGCCCCCTCCCCCATACCCTTCCCTTTGCACCACCGAGGGATGTGAACTGACTCCCTCCCCTCAGCTGTGCCACTGTGGAGTCCAGGGGCTCTCTCTGTGACTCTGCTTAGTATGAGCATCTTCTTTTGACTGGCGGTCACCTTAGGTTGCCAAAGGCTCTGGCCAAGGTGGCCTTGCTTTGCCAGGCCAGGGCTGTACAGGAGCTGAATATTGCTTTTACTCCAGGCCCACAGGTTTCCAGGGTGGCACAGCTGGGTTGCCAGCATGCTTGGGCCCCAGCAGAATGAGTCTGCAGACCTTTATTAAACAGGCATTGGTCACCACTTGCTTTGGGTCCACGATGTCCACCAGGGGCTCCTTCATGGCAACATCCCGGATACAGGTCATATCAAAGCCATAGACATTCTCCCACCCTGTGAAAACAGAGCGAGACATGAGGGCCAGCAGCAGGACCCGCGGAAGTCTTCCCAGCCCTCCTGAGGACTAGAGCACAGCATGCCCAAGAGGGGGAGGGGCATCCCATGTTCCCCTGCAATCAGAATAGAAGAATCACTCATCTGAGTGAAGAGCTTTGCAGAACATACAGATCGCACTTGATGGTAGGAAAACTAAAGCTCAGAGAGGCTGAAAAACTTCTCTAAGGTCACACGCCAGAATGCCACAGGGTCAAGACTAGAATCCAGATTGCCTGACTCTTCCTGTATCCACTTTCCTGTCTCTCTATCTGAGCCAGCAGAGTCTCCTACAAACTCTTATCTGGCACCCACATTTCTATCTTGATGCCTTTGCTCAAGCTGTCCTGCACACTTAGAAGACCCACCTCTCTCCTGTCCCCACCCACTGAATCTTTAACAAAGCAGGGAGAAACATGGGCTCTTAAAATTATATAGACTAGTTTGAATCCCAGCACCACCACTTACTGGCCAGGCCCTTGTGCTAATTCCCTAACATCTCTGAAACTCCGTTTTTTCAACTGCAAAACGAGGGGGGAGGGTGGGTCCGTGAGAGTCTTGGCCTTTCTCACATGCCATGATGCACTCACTAAGAATCCATCCCATAAGAAATACCCCCAGGTGGTGCACAACCAACCCAGTGGTGCTCATTGGCTCCTTGTGGCTGCTCATAAGATGCTTTGAGAGGGAGAAAGATGTAGGGTGCAAGGCTGGTGAGTAAATGAATGTACATCTGATGGCCCAAGACCATCCTTATATGGTGGCAATCATTGCTACCATTGACTGACCACCTAGCTGAAGCCAGACTCTTCATTTAATCTATCCAGCAACCTCCAGGGGATATGTCTATTGACAGTCAAGGAAACAGGCTGGGAGAAGTTGGCATGTGGCCCACACACAATATATGGGCCAAGATCACACATCAAGGAGATGGTGGAATTAGGGCTCACTCCAGCTTGTCCCCTGACTCTTCAGCTGCACTGACCCAGCTGTGACAGCAACCAGGAATGCAATTTCCTCCCCCGTACTGTAGAGGGTGTGGCCTAAGCAGAAGCTTTAGTCACTGAGCAGCTGAATCTCATTTGTCTGTTTATGCAGATGGGTCTAGAAATGCATCGAAAGGAGAGATGCTTTTCTCTAGAATCTTATGGGATTAAATTTCCTTTTAAAATGTGCATCAAACAAATGGTAGTTTCGGGAACTATGTTTCCGTATGTTTAGTAGAGGGGGTGTGTGAAGAGGGAGGTGGGAACAGTCAGTGAAAGCCGTGTGTTTCTTTGACTCCTTTCTAAGGCACACAAAGACCTTCCTCAGGGAGAAGAGGCAGAGAAAATAATCATCTCCCAGAGGGGGAGCACTTGTGAAATTCTGGCTTGAGGATAAGATGCCAGTCATATCCATTAAATCACATGAGGTTGGTGCCAAGTTCCTAGTTGAAGCCTACGTTTGGAGAAGTAAGCTGCTTGGTTGGCAATGGGACGTGCTTCAGAGGAGTTGCCCTTCTAGAGTCTGGAAGCCCCCAGATAAAACGTATACACTAAACAAAGTGCCTTCATTTTAAATCTTTCCTAAAGACACCTGCTGCCATGTTCCTGCTCTCCCATTCCCCGCCCTGCCTTAAGTTGAGGTTAAGGGCAAGTGTCGGGCAAAAACCCAAGAGTCCATGTGCGTGATGGTTAAAGGCCTGGGCTTTGGAGTTCAACTCTGGGTTCTGCCGTTTATTTGCTGTGTAATATTAGCAAAAATTTAGCTCTCGAAGAGTTGGTTTCTTCTTTAAAATAGAGATGATGGTGATAACCACAGCTACTCTGTTGGGTTGTCATGAGGATTAAATGTAGAGTGTGTAAGGGGATGCCTGGCACACAGAGCTGCTGGTACATAGTGATTGTTATCATGATGTGGTTTGAGCTCTTTGTCACCATCTGAGCTGCGTGATCTTGGACATATCAATCCTCTTCTCTGGGCTTGTTTGTAAAGTGAGGAGTTTGGTTCAGTGGTTCTGTGCTCCAGAATCATCTGGGATGCTTTTAAAAATACAAATTCCTGGGCCCAAACCAGATCTGCTGAATCGGAATCTCCAGATTTGGGATCTGGGAAGCTGGAATTTTACAAATCTATGTAGGTAGGGGCGCCTGGGTGACTCAGTCAGTTAAGAGTCTGACTCTTGATTTTGGCTCAAGTCATGATCTCAGGGTCGTGAGATCAGCCCTGCATTGGGCTCTGCACTGAGCAGGGAGTCTGCTTGAGATTCTCTCTCCTTCTCCCTCTGCCCCTCCCCCCACCACATGCACATGCTCTTTCTCACTCTCTTTCTCTCTCTCAAAAAAAATTCCTTTACAGTCAAGAAATGGTGAGTTGAATGTCTCTTGCTTTTGTGAAACCTTTTCTAACCATTCCCAACTATGAGACTACTTCTATATCCTCAACACCTATAGCCCAGCATCTAGTGCAATACAAGCGCACAGATAATGCTTTTTTAATTGGAACTCATTCCCAAATATTTAATGTTCTACACTGCCTTGCAATGCCCAGTATTTTAGTTACCTTTTCAGAGGTTAATTCATGTTTTTCTCCCCAGCTAGACTACCTTGCCTTCAGTTATTCAGGAGAAAGTTCACCCAGGACAATAAATTTGTTTTCTCTTCTTTCTGCTAACCATTTATCTCCCACTAGCTCCTTTAGCAGAAGTGGAGCAGGGATGGGAGACAACACTAATCAAACAGATTAATTTTTCGTTGCAACTCTGTCTTGTTTATTGACTAAGTGAATGTGGGGTGAGGGCTATTGCTACTAGGAAATATTGTTATTAATTTTCTTATTCAAATTTAAACAATAACATCAGATGGACCTGTGAACTTTTGTTTATGGACTAAAAAACAAATTCTCAGAAAGGACAGCACTGAGGCACGATGAATGTAACTAAAGCAACAGCCAAACCCCAACCTATCATTATGACAGACTAGATTGACTCAAATGCCCACTTTAAAAGCCTGGCAGAGGAAAAGGCATACTCTTTTCTGGGCATAAATATTGTGCATCTGTCCCTACTGTTCTCTTACTGATATTGCCCAGCATTGAGAAAAATTACAAGATGAATGAAAAAGGAAAAAAAAATGACCATCATCAGAAGAAAATATAGTCAATAGAACCAGACTTAGAGACAGCCCAGATGTTGGAATTATCCAATAGAGACTTTAAAGTACCTATAATAAGAAGTTAAAGAATCCAATGGAAAAACATGCATGAACAGATCAGGAATTTCACTGGTGAGATGGAAACTATAAAAATGAGCCAATGGAAATGTTAGAAATGAAAATCACAATATCAGGGGTAAGGAATTCTTTCAATGTGCTTATTAAAAGAATGCATACATCAGAGGAAGTAATGAATAACTTCAAGATAGGTCAATAAAAATTATCCAAACTTAAATACAGAGAGAGAAAAAATATAGCACCCAAGATCCATAGGACAATATCAAACAGTACCTAACATATGTGTAATTGGAGTCCCTGAAGGAGAAGAGAAAGAGAATCAGGCAGGAAAAAATATTTGCAGAGATAATGGCTCGAAGTTTTCCTGAATCAATGAAATCATCAACCCATAGATCCAAAAATGCTGTAGAACCCCAAGCAGGATAAATAGAAAGGAAAACACTTGTAGACACATCCGAGTCAACCTGATGAGTATCAAAATAAAGAGAAAAGCTCAAAAGCAGTTGCAGAAAAAGAAATGTGAAGTACTGGAGAACCAACTTTATGTTTCATTGAAGAGAGCTGAAGCTACATCCTCCTTCCCCACCCTGGCCCCACAGTTTCAGTTTCTCCGCTAGGGCGGATGGGACTGCCTCCGGATGTGTTAGAGGGAAACAGAGCAAGTGCCACCAGGCGCTACTTACAGTTTCACCTCTAGACGGAAGGGAAGGTGTTCACAATAGTTTCATACATTCTAGTCTCTCAGGCACAGAGGCAACTTCTTGTATAAAATAGGACAGAGGGGCACCTGGGTGGCTCAGTCGGTTAAGCGTCTGCCTTTGGCTCAGGTCATGATCCCAGTGTCCTGGCATCGAGCCCTGCATCGGGCTCCCTGCTCCGAGGGAAGCCTGCTTCTCCCTCTCCCACTGCCTCTCCCCCCAGCTTATGCTCTCTCTCTCGTTCACTCTCTCTCTCTCTCTCAAATAAATAAATACAATCTTTTTAAAAAAATAAAATAAAATAGGAAAGAGCCGGAGAACAGAGCTCTGGATGTTGAGGGTGGGGGTGAAGGTGGGAAAGAACCACATGGAGAGCAACTGAGCACTCCAAGAGGTCCTGCCTTTACAACCTCCCTCGGGCTGCAGGCACCACTGACGCTACGGAAGGCCTTCCTTCTTATCTTCTCATGAGCTGGGAAGCTGGTGCCCATATCTCTGACTCCCAGCAGGTTGGAGATTCATGTATTGGGTCAGATTCGTGTATTGGATAAGAAATCAAATAGAACACCTACCACGTTTCCTTCCAGTTTTAAGATTCTATAAATCTCCTCCATAGTAGAAATTCTAAAAAATGATCGCTCCTCTCTCTCGTGGTTACACACTACACTTTGCACATTCCTCTACTGCTTATTTTTACTCCTTCATTTGTTTCTTCATGCATTCACTCAACAAAATATGTATCGTGAGACTGGTTCATGCCAATCATTTGCCTCTCTTCTTCTGTGTTCTCTAGTAGCTGGTGAGCAAAATAAAGGCAATTTCTGTGTTTCACTTATTCTTGTGTTTCTATGTTGCATGTGATTGAGAAAGGAAAGGAGAGAAGAAGGGAGAGGGGAGAGGAGGAGGAGAGGGGAGAGAAAGGGAGGGGGAAAGGGCGGGGAGGGAAGGGGAAGGTGGTGGAAGGGAGGAGAGGGGCAGGGAGGAAGCGGTTTTGTAACAATTTACTTTGTGAAAGGGTCTGGGCTTGTCTCATTCTCCTGCCCCACTTTAAGATTTTTCTTTTTTAGCCGGTTCTTGAACCAACTGAAATTTGCTTACAATTGTTCCCTTAGCAACCAGCAACCTTTATGCTTTACTTTTGATTTAGAACTCAAGAGTATCCAAAATCTCTGTTTATCTGAAACAGATTTCTAAATGGGCTTGCTTCCTTTACTAAAAACAAAAACAGATCATTAAAAAATTTTTAAATGGAAAACTTCACAGTTTTTTAAATAAATTTTAAATGTATGTTTGATTTTTATTTTTTGGGTCTGGGGTTTTTGGTGTTTGTTGGATAGAAGACTCCAGAGCAAACATTTCACAAGAAAAGAGGATTTAAATTTTTTAGAAGCTGATTTAAATTTTTTTTCTTCCCCAGAACCTATGAAAATTGCAGTGGTCAGCATAAGATTAAGTCACACCATCTCCAGTCCTGCACCAGCACCTGAGGAACAGCAACTGCCCTCTTGCACCTTCCAGGGTCCATGCAGTCCGGTCCAGCTCCAGCTGGCTCACTACAATGTGCGTCTGCCACAGGTTCCCAAACACAATCCAGGGAAAGGAGGAAGGTAAGGAACGTTGGCTTTTAAACCATGAGGAAGTCCCTTAAAGAGCTGTGCCCAGGGTCAGGGCTTGGTAAATATTTATGCATAAGAATGAAGAATGCACCTGAAGGTTCTCCTCAAAACACGATTCGGTATAGTTACACCGCAAGAACTCCAAAAGCAGTATTATAATGCAGCTCCAGGGCAAAATATGTCCTATTTATACATGCATTTGATCAATGTTCACTGTTGGGTTGTTTCTGCAATCTACCGTGAGAGCACATCTGTCCTAGATTCTGAGCCACTGGAGGCCAACAAGCTTGGCAGTCAGGCTCGCTTACCAGAGCTGCAAACAGAAAGGGGCTTAGTGACGTGTTCAGTGCCTAGGTCCAGTCTGGTGCCATGTGCCTCCAAGAACTGTCACATCCTTTCCTATACATCATCTCACTGAATCCTCATGGCTAGTGTGTGGGATTGGTGATATTATCTGTGAGGCCAAAGGGGTTGGGTAAATTGCTCCCAGTCATCCAGGTAGGATTTGAACCCAGAGCTGGCAGACTTTGAAACATGATCATCCAACGTAGGCTACTCTCCCTCTCATTGCTCATCAAATGTTAGAAATGTCACCAGATTGGCTGGAGGCAGAGGGCACAGAGCTTCGAATAACTGTCCGGCTTCTGCCTTCTCCTGAATCTGACTCTGAACTTTGTGCTTTGATGTTTTATTTCCGGAAGGGTGTGAACACACACACAAATGTATACATTCCGTAGCGCAGTCCAGCTTGGGTGTCATTAATGGCACTAGAAAAATTAGATGGCAATCGTGTGAATCCACGGAGCAACAATTTGTCGAACTATCAAGTCTCAGTCTCTCAGGGTGCTGATCCTCTGCTCAGTCTGTGCACGCCTCCATAGTAATCTTGCCAAGAGGGCTTGACCACTGCAGGGGCAGGAACCCCAGGTCTGCTGACTCCATCGCACTGTGTAGAGTTCCTGTGTCATGCTTTGGGTTGGATTGTGTGTGTGCTTGCCTATGTGAGGGGCTCTTTGCTCCTTTGTCGTGTTTTCTTCTGGCTGAGGAGACATGGCTGTTTCTAAGTGATGGGAACACATTTGAAATAAGCTTGAGGACTAGCTTGTGTCACTGAGAAATGCTACCCTCTAAATTAAAAAGAACAAAGCATCCTTTTCGGACCAGATATGACATTGGAGAGGGTTTTTGTTTGTTTGGCTTTTTTTCCCTAAAGAACAAATTTTCAACTGATAAAGCAGTATGAATGTAGGTTTGGATATGAGTCCCTGACACACGCATGTACACAACTGCACATATATGGCATGCAAAGTCTCCATCTCTCCCCACCCCCACTGCCATCCATTCCCCCAAAAGAACCGCAAAGAAGAATATATATTTTACTTAATGTGAAGAAGAGTCACTATCATTTTCATGAATTCAAGTAGCATGAAGGCAGGCTTCAGAATGGTCGAGCTGGCTAGCGATCTGCCATTTTTGACCCCTGTAGTGGACTTTTGGGATAACCGAAACTCCTCAGGCTCCCAGCCCCCTGGCCTGATGTTCTCTACAAAAATCAGTTTCTGTTGCTTCAGCTCATTTTTCATTCACATTGCTTTCATTCTCTCACCCCAGGATATGTCTCTTAAATCAACTGCTTTGCTTATTTTCTCTCTGCAGACCTCCTACCCTTGGGACCAAGGGAAAACGCCTAGAGGGAAGAATCCAGAATAAGTCACAGGTAAACTCCTCCATAGGCATATCAGCTGTATTCATGAGGCTGGTTGCTTATCTCAGAGCCACTGTAGTACCTCCCACCCCAACTGTGAGAAAGACAAAAACTTAAAAGGTGACTTACAGTGGATTTTGAAGTCCTTGTACTGTCTGTCTTCAATTGCTACCACGTACAAAGCTGCCCGGTCTGGAAACATAAGCCCTCCAGGTTTCTGTTGATGAATTGTGGGGAAATGGGTCTCGTAATCTATTCACCTGACAAAGACATCACATTTTGAACTGCACATAGAGTCACCAGACAGGCACCCCCTTGCCAGCATTTCTCATTCAGCAGACTGTCACCTTGGCCAGGGTTAGGGTTAGGATGACAATGCCCAATTTTTATTTGGGAATGGGGAGAACTTGAGGGACCTAAGTGGAGACCATAGAACAAATGAACTGGGGCAAAGGTAAGTTCAATGGGGAACAGCCTGGACAAGCCAGAGTCAGAAGCATGCTCAGCTCTCTGGCAGCCAAACAAGTCCTAAGTACCTGTTGACCAGAAGAGATTTTTGTCTTGACAACAGAGAATGGGTGTTGATTACAACCAAAGAGGACAAGGTGAGCCCTACAGAACAATGAGGCAGACATGTTGGACCTGGGTACCATCGTTCTGTCCCCTGAAGCAGATCTGGTTTAAGGAGAGGGGTCTGGAGGAGGTGACCTTCTAGCCCAAGCCCTCTCTGGAGTCCTCATATTCTTCCTAGACTGTCGACCAGGGGTAGAGCAGCAGGACAGCCAGCAGACCAACAAGGGGACGGCATGCAGGACACTTACCAGCCACTTGTCCCTGGCAAAGATCACCGTGTTGAGCATTGACTCATAGAACAGACAGTAGCCCATCCACTCGCTGATGATGATGTCTACCTTCTCCACAGGCAGCTCCACCTCTTCTACTTTACCCTTAAATATGGTGATGACTGGAAAATAGGAACCCCACGGCCACACTTTGCAGGGACCCTAGCCTGGAACCATGAGCACCCCACATCAGGGCCAGACCTGCAGGTTTTAGCCCTGTTCTGATTCTGCTTTTAGGATGCGACATACCTCATCCTTCACCAAGCTAGTTATGCAAAGAAAACTGCGAACGACTTGCATGTTTTCTCCCCAAAATGTACAGGGCAGTGACTATGTCCTGGCCCCTGTGCCGAGCCTGTGATACGCACCGTATCATGTGATCTTCCCCGCAACTCCATGAAGTAAGCACGTTACTATTATTCTCATTTTTGAAGTGAGGCTTAGAGAGGTTGAATGGTGGGTGTGGAAGTACAGGCCAGTCTAATATGCTATGACTCTAACACTCTGATCACAGTCCCCATCCCATTTTAAGCCACCATGATGGTTCAGATCCAAAGGGCAAAGATGTTCACATCCAGGGCTCATCCCCCAGTGGTTTCGTGAGGAAGGCAACTTGGTGTCTTGACAAGAGCATGGGCTCTATAATCAGGGGTTTAAGTCCTGATCTTCTCATTATTAACTATATGATTTTGCACAAGTTATTTGACTTAACTGAACTCCGATTCCCCAGAAAACAACCAAGGAAAGTAATATCTACTTAGCGGGCAGTTGAACTGATACGATGAAATAACAAATGTTAAGTGCCAGGCTTATAGCCAGGGCTCAAGAGAAGGTACACATCATCTGAAATTTCCCCCCTTGCTGATGGAAAGGTGAGGGGGATAAGGATGGAACCACTCTCCTGCTCTTAGTGACCTCTGCTCATGAGTCACTTCCTAGACCTTCCTATCCCTCCGTGGCAGGAGAAACTTCTTAGTTGAGTTTTTGATCATTTGACATAGTCATACACATAATCTTGGAGTCTCTTTTTTGCATCGGTTGCTCTAAAGATCATAGCAAACACTATCTTAGATGCTGCTATGAAATTGACAGGGTGATGTATTGGTTGGCTGATTCCATCTGAACATTTCCTCTGAAAGGATACACAGATTCATGCTCTGAAATTCTCTTTCTGCACCATCTTCTGAAAAATCACACCATGCCTGAGCTTTGCTGGGAAAATTGAACAAGAGCTTGTATTCAGGAGTGAAAAAAAACAAAAAAACAAAAACCTGTACACAAAGAGAACACATCTGTCCTGAATCTGAGCTTCATGAAAATGAATTTGGATTAGAGGCTCCTGGATGACAAAGGGCACACAGGTCACTGGTTTTGTTTCATGTCCTCACATTGGATAATGCAGCTGATGAAGTGCCCATTAGCAGCCTCTAATGATTTGCTCTCCAGTACCTGGTGTTTAATCAAGTCTTAACCAGATAAGGCCTCCTCCATGATCAGTCAGATACTTTGCAGACGCACGTTGGTCCTGATCGCTCTAGAGGGAGGCCCAGGCTTGTGTGGCCTTCCTGGCTACTATGCATGAGCCCTGCCCCTAAGTGGTAAGAACAAGGAAGGCCTAGTCATCTCCAAAAGGTTTGGAAGGGGTGGGAGGAGTAGGTGTCAAAGTTCTGCTTCTCTGGGGGGCTCCACAACCCGAGAGCAGGAACGCAAACAAGAGGAGAGCCCAGGATGAACCAAGAGAATTCACAGGGAACAAAGTAAGGGATTTTTGAAAACGCAAAGAGAGTGCCTAACTTAGTTCTCATTCTGAAAAAGAGTTGACAGATACAGGCCCGACCCACCTGTCTCATTATTTGAGTGCAAAGCTTGGTTTGTCCTACTTTTGCAAATCTTTGTTGTTGAAGAGTAACCGACGTATATTCATTTCATGTGCACAACACAGTGATTTGACATTGTATATGTACATTGTGAACTGATCACCACGATAAATCTAGTTACCGTCCGTCACCAGACAAAGGTGATACAAATTATTGACTATATTCCTCATGCGGCACATTACATCCCCATGACTTATTTATTTTAGAACTGGAAGTTTGTACCTCTTAATCCCCTTCACCCTTTCCCCACCATCCCCTACCCCACCTCTGGCTGCCAGCAATCTGTCCTCTGTGTCTATGAGTTTGGGTTTGGTTTGGTTTGGTTTTGTAGACTCCACTTCTTGGTGAAACCATGCAATATTTATCTTTCTCTGTCTGACTTCTTTCACTTATTGTGATGCCCTCAAGGTGGCCTCCCTTTCTTCTCTCTTTGCACATTTCTTGAAGGCTCTTCCCTAATGTTTGCATGTGTCTATGGGGCTATAAGTCTGCTCCATCTCCTACATTAGATCATGCCCTCCATGTGGCTCGGGAAGATGCCTTCTCCTGCCCATGGTGCCCCACGGCCTCCACTCTGGGTGCCTAGTACACGGCTCACTGGGGATGGTTCCATGAACAGGACTCCAATAGGACTACAAGAAGCAGAGATGGACAAGAACTTATAGTCTAGTCTGACAGATGGGTATGTACAGAACATTCCTGGGGTATCCCCAGCGTGAGTGAATGCTGTCCCTGTTCTCGGCAGTAGCACTCTATCCATTCGTTGCTAAATCCTGATCACTATGGCTACAACAGATGATAGGTACGTAGATAGATAGATGAGAGACAGACAGAGAGAGAGAGATACACACGGTAGGTCATAGAAAGGTAGAAGGTATCAATTAACCCTGTTTTAAAAAATCAACAGTCTGTGCCTCTGTTTACTTAACATCACCATTCTGCATCCAAACATTTTTTGGAGCAGATGTAGCCCCTGCTTGGCTTGGTGAGTAGATGGGCCCTCTGTGAAAGGAAAAAGGCAGGCCTCCTCTCAGTCCAGTGGTGGACTGGATTTCAGACCCCCTTCATCCCCTTGCTCAGGTGTTTCTATACAGTGCTCGATTTCCACAACCTTCTGCCGGTGTCCTAGGGGCAGACAACTTCTGTTCTTCTTCCAGCTGACAACAAACCTTGATCAAACATTTCCTCCCCTTTGGGGACTCAATTTCTTTATTGTGGGGGAAAAAAGAAGGGGGATTGAACCTAAGAATTCCTAAGATGCTCTGCAGTGCCAAAATGCTTCGATTCTTCAGATATATATTGAGCATGTAAAAGGCATTCTGCAAAGTTTACTGGTAGTAGCTGACACCAATAAAGAAACAGTGCCTACAATTTCCAGTTTGACTAATTTGCACCAATTCCTTGAGGCTAATTTAAAAAAAAAAAAAAAGAGGCTATGTTGTTTCTATGGACCCAAATATAATTGCCCAGCTGAATCATCAAGGATATTCTTCCTGTTTTCTACAGTCACACCAGCAACCATTTAAATTCCCAGATTCAATTTCCCAGTCTGCAAAATGCTACCTCTTGCGGTGGGCTTTACGGCAACCAATGGGGTGGGGAGGGCTATTGGCCAGTGCAATGCAGTGGGCTGGTTCCAAGGACTGTGTGGGCATCTGAACCTTCTCCACATCAAGCTTTTTCAAGGGGCATCTTAGCCACTGATACTCAGGTTCTGAGCAGCTATGAGCTGCAGAACCCCACTCCCAATCTGGACCCCACATCACTAACCCTGTGTCAGCTCAAGGTTGCACTGAGGTCCCTCTTTGGAGCTATGTTTTTACTCCATAGAGATGATGGAAAGTTTGTTCCAACAACAGGCCCAGGGCTCATAAATTTTGGAATGATTAATCATAACTAAGTGCACAACAAGGAGCAATGCACTCTGAACTCTAAATTCAGAGATTCTTCCCCTGTAATTTCAAGTTTGCAAATTAGACATCCAGATTTTTTTTTTCTTTTTTTGGATTTGTTTTCTTTTTATCTTGAGTGTTTATTACAGAAAGCTAGCCAAACTGACTCACAGTTATTCGTTTGACTTAAAAAAAACAAATCGGGACAGCCTGATGTCATCTGGGCCTCCAGCATGTCCATCAGAGTCAACTGACCCCACAGGTCCGAAGTTAGACTCTTCTGTTTCCCAGAGCAGATCCTGTGCCAGAGAGGAGTGGGCATGAGGGTCATGAGTGCGAGGTGGGGGCACATTCTGAGGCAGTAGAGCCTCTCTGATGCCACCCCCACCGCAGCATGGCCACTAGCCGCCCCCCAACTACCTTGCCATGTTGTTCACCTGCCTATTTTGGCGACACCCACGCCAGCTGCCACACACCTTCCAAGGGCCTGACTCACCTCCAGGCTGCGATCTCTTCTTCTTAATTGCCTATCCTAGCGTCCTATTTCCAGGACCTCACAGAGCACTTGACTCCTCACAAACATCAGGAATCATTGCTGAATGAATGAATGGATGAATAAGCAATTTTGAAAAAAGGGTATTTGGGTTGAAAGACAAAAGATCCTCAAACCAGTCCTAATTAGGATAGTAAAAAATTACTAGCATTTGAATAGCAGCTTTGCAGAGTTGATTTCACTTATATTATCTCTGTAACCCTCACAGGAACCTGTGCAGTTGGTTTTTATTATTCCATCTGCCTAATGAGAAAACTGGAGTTTAGAGAAATCAAAAGGTAGAGCCAAAAGCGAGGCCTGTTTTATAACCTGGTACAAGTCACCAGCCTCCCTGAGGTTCCCTTCCTTCACCTGCAGCCGATATAGTATCTGCCTTAAATACCTCGTGGGATTGCTGTGGATACGAAGCAACTGCTTGGGAATGATGGAGGAAAAGAAATCAGAGAAGGCCAAGGACTAACCCATCCTCCTCCTGAAGGCTGTCAGATTGGTTAGTAGGGTGAGGAGAGGTAGAGCCATCATGAGCCTATCAGGATGGTGGAGGAAGAACCCATCCAACCCCCTGGTATCAGCTCTGTCTCAGGTTCCCATGGTCCAGATACATGGATAAATCTCTCTTACAAGGTCAGACCTAGCCCCATTCTTGAGCCAGTAGTGATGGGACAAAGAGGACAACAACAACTTTACCCCCAATATCTGGTGGGACTTGGAATATACTCTACAGCCAACAGACCCTATAACTGGAGTGGCAGAGATGAGCCATGGGTGCTTCATAGCCGCAGTATAGTAGAAACTTCAAT